CACCTAATTTGTTTAGCCTACTACTATTCTCATGACCAAAAATTGCTTAAGAATATCAACTTCATGTTCTGTACTCCAACAGAATACAGTCAGCAGTTTTTTGTCCAAAACCTGCGAGTTGAGATAATCCCATTTTTTAAAGACATTGAAATGTATTGCTTATATAAAAGACTAGAAAAAATACCACCTTTATTTGACTGACATACTAAATTGATATAAAAGCCTCCATGACAAATGTGTCATGAGTCAAAAATGTTCCTATAGAAAATGTGTGGGTCTTTGTGATCTCGGATTGCTAGAACTCGGGGAATATTTCATAATGGACTCCCACTGTCCCAGTGAGGCAAAGGGAACACTGGTATCCTGTCAGCCTCATTCTTGGAGCCCCCTGGTACCTCACCTCCACTTGCTTGCAGGTAACCAGCCCTACAAACAGTTACAAGCTGTACCTAGAAAGTAAAAATCACCCTTCAACTGCCCCTCAGTTAAATGAACCCACAAATACATTATATTTTGCCATGCCTCAACTCTCAATAATTATTTAGACAGCTTGATAGACATTTTGGATAGAGATCATTCTTAGTGACAGTATTAGTCTAAGACAAAAATACAAAGTGAATTCCACATAGAAATGTGAGGCACAATTAATGGAGAGGATTGGAGGAAATAAGGCTTGATTGAAGACTTTATTTGTACTGTTTGAGGAGGCACACAGGAAAACCAAATGAAGTGTTTGTTTTACAAAACACATTATACCATGCTATTGACAGAGCTACTGTTGAGCTAAACAAACTAAGTTAATTTACAGTAAAGTAAATTGCAGTTAAAAAAGGGATTGCAGCATGGAGATAAGGATATCTTTGCTATCTTTCAACAGGACTGCTAGCAAGACTAGTTTGGCTGCAACTTAGAACAGGACACAAGCCAATTGATTTAGCTTTTGTCTATGTGCAAGTCAATATTGCTCCTGTGATCAGCTAATAGGCCCCTGTCTTTTTCCTCCTATGGACCTCAGCTTACAGTACAAAGCCATTTGAACATTTCACTTCTCCATCTATAAACTAGGAGATGCCCAAACTTCATGCCCCCCCTCAGAAAGGCACATTTATGGCTTAACTACACTAAAAATATCAATAACTATCACAGCTTGGCAGAGTTAAACTGGTATATTTTGCTATACAGAATGACTTCAGCATCTGGAATGCCATTCTGCTTACAAATTAGGTGGTACATTCAGCAACTGTTTTTAATTATTCTCCTTAATTAGTCTTTCCATCCTAATCCAAAAAACGTGTTCCAGAGAAATGCTCAGAAACTTTGTGCTCAGTGAAAAAGGGTAAATTACCTACTTTGCAGAAAACATAACTGCACTCTTACAGATTCAAATAAATCAAAGGAATCAGAGTATATGGCAATATGCAGATGTGGTGAGACAAAAAGAAAAACATATCCTGAATATAGAGGATGAAACAGAACTTGTATCTTTCCCACAAATAGCAGCTACATGGTAATTATGTAGTCCTGTGATTTATTTATTACAGCTATAAGTTTCCAGTACGCACCAACCAGTAAGGGTCACTTTTGAAAGCTGCACTTACTGCTTTGCAGCCTGCAGAGCATCCTAAGCTTGGCAGTCTTAAATTATTCATTTTAACAAAGCGTTTTATTATTGTTCTAAACAATATTGGTCATTGGTTGGACTCTGATATTGGAGGTCTTTTCCAACCTAAATGAATCTGTGATTCTCTTGGGTTCCAAATTCACATAGATCCGCATACAGTATTTACATATGTCAACTCCATTTGACATCTACCAGATTTAAGCACTATTAACAGCAAGAAATAATCTTACCTCTCCTACCCTTTCATCAGCATACTTTGTGCTGAATACTCCACATAACTGACCACAGGATCCTTCATACAATGCCGCCACAATTGAAGGTGTGATTCAAAACACATGCAATTTCAAAGTGAAATATACAAGTTTAATCTTCTGTTCTGAAAATACAGATATCAAAACCCAGACAATGCATGTTCTCAATATTGGAGAAATATTCCTATTCCACCTTAACTTCCTGAGGGATAATACAACATAACTGACAAAATCTGTAACCTTGGAAATAAAAACACATAACTGTAGTGCAAAAGGTGGCACATAAAAGTGCACTAGTGTTCTCCTCATAGCAGCATGAGTGTCTACCATGAAATGAACAAGAAGTGTGTCTGCCTATCAGTAAATGAACTCAGACTTAAGCAACATGCTCAGTGAAAAAAATCAACCAGATATTATCAATAGCTAGAAGGCAGAAGTTAAAGAATTTATAGAAGAGAAGATTGTGATTTGAATTACCTACCCCTCAAAGTGAGATCAGTCAGGCTGTACAAATGAGCAATAGCCACCTGGTTACCAGCAACTCTTCAGTGCAACCAGGTGGCTGTTGTCTGGTTATTCATCCATTTTGGCATCACAGTAGAAATGTGCAGAACACAGCATGTGCTGCAGAATTCAGACTGAAAATGCAGATAAGGTCTGATGCTGATGCAAGTCCTGAGCTTTGCATAAAGGATACTTATGCTTGGTACAACTAAGTGGGATTCTCAAAGGGGTTTCCTAATGCACCCATTTTATCAGAGCAGATAGACATACAAGTATTAAAATAGCTGCTTGGAAATGTCATAATCCTACCAATAAAAAAAAGAAAACACATAAGTTGGTCTGTGGTGCAAAATGCAAGTTTGATTTATGAGGTTCACTTTATATAAAATTTAAATAATTATACAGCAAGATACAACCCTTTCTCCTGCCTTCCCTCCCACGGCTAAGTAGTACAATAGCTTACAGTGTAATTGGGTGTGAAGATTTTGCAGACAGCACTCATCATGCAGGTGAGTGAGCACATAGCATAAAAAGCAGTCCAAGAAAAAAATTTAATTACTTTAGGTAAGTAATTCAACATTTTGCAATAGTCATATTGAAATATAATATCATTCCCATCCTAGGGGTACAGAGACACCAATTTGAACAGTGGCTTTTTGTTACTATCTTGAATAGCCTTTGGAATCCAAATCACAGAAAACCAGGAAATGAATTTAAATAAGAATAAGCATCATTTTGGTGACTATATTATATTTGCACAAATAAAGACAATCTTTGTAGTGGACCACATTTTCTGGTTGATCCAAAGGAAGCTCTCTATTGAGAAACTGCAACTGTATCTCTTTAGCAGGAGTAAGATTTCAGTGACACCAGCTCTGGTAAGCTAGGCAGAGCTGAAGAGCAATTCACCTCTAAGTACCTGAAAAGGGTTACTAAACGTAGAAAAGCTTACTTAAGGAATATGTCTTAACTGATTAGCAACGATGGGATAGTTACTCAAATAGGGGGAACAATTTTATCTGCTTGTTTTCAGTATAAGAAAGAGTGATTTTTAGCTCATGTATCGGGAGTGGGGGGAGAATGCTTTCAGTTGTGAAATAGCACACTAGGATCAAAAATAAAAATAAACAACAAATAGACGGAGAGGAGGGCTGCAGCTTGAAATACTTGACTGCTAATATCCAGCATGCCATTCCAGGGAGTCCCAGAGTGGTTTCTAAGCCTCTTGCCCATCCTCGTAAAGAAAGGCGGGTGGCAGGACTAATCAATATCTTGCAACCCAGCTGTGACCAGACAAATAAAGAAGTCAAGAAAAAAAATCCCATCGATGATCAGTGTCATTTAGCATTCGGAAGAAGGCAACATCTGGGCTCAACTCCAGATGGGACGGAGCGGCCCCGCGCTCTCGGCTCGCCACAGCGCTGCTATACACACACACACACACACACACACACACAAAGGAGGTCTCCGCGCTCCTCCCGCTTTTCTCCAGTGTGAACAACTCCGCGTTCAAATGCGATGTAAACACACGGAGAGCTGCCTACTACGCCGGCAGGTCTGTACAACAGTTCAGCTACATCCGTGTCAGAGGGGGCTATTGTCCGGGACAAGCGGTCGGCGCTCACCGGGTGTGGGCGTAGGCGGTGCCAAGAAAAATAAAATCACTGCGAGTCTCTCCGATCACTCCGCAAGTCAAAGCCGCGGGCTTCAGAGCCCTGCGTCGGGCAGAAGAGAACAAACAGGCGAGGCAGCGCGACTCCCACAAGCGACACTTTGTCTGCTTTCCAGTGAAGCAGTGACAAAATCCCCGACGCGCGAACAATGCCCGCGGCCCCATCGCCGCTCCTTGCCGGGCCGCCGGCGGACACCGTCTCCCACCGGGTCGCCGCTCCCAGCGATGTTTTTAGGTTGCTTTGTTTCCCGTGAAATGCCAGCCTTTTCACCCAGCGCCGGCAGGGAGAATAGAGCGCCCGCCTCGGAGATTGGGGACCGGCCCCTGCCCCATCCCCTGGCAGCAGCGGGAGACGCCGGAGCCGCGGCTTGGGCATCGGCCGTCCTTTGTTGTGCCCCCAGGGAAGGGGCCGCTCCCCCGTGCCCTGACGGGACCTCGGTTCCCATCGCAGCGCTCACACGCGCAGCGGGAAACGGCAGCAGCGCCCCGCGGGGCGAGCCCGCTCTGCCCGGGATGCGCTCCCCGCCGGCAGCGCCGCTCCTCGCCCCCACGCTGCCCCGCTCGCCTTCTCTTTCACTCACCCACGCCGTACTTCTCGTGCTCCGTGGGTAACCACATGCTCGCGGCGTGCGAGCGCCCGTTCCCCCGCCAGCCCCTCCGCCGGGAGCGGCGGCGGCCGGCAAGCGCGTCCGCTGCCCGGGGCTCCCGCCGCGCTCAGCCGCGGCTGCCCAGCCCCAGCGGCGAAGGCATTGTTCGGGCGGGCGGACTGACTGAAGCGCGCTCGCCGCCAGCCACTTATATTCCCCGTCCCGCTGCACGCCGGGGAACGTAGTGCTCGGTGCGGCCGCGCCCCTCGCCGCCCGCGGCCGCGGGAGAGACTACGAGCCCCGTCTGGCCCCGCGCTCCCCGCCGGGGCGGAGCGGGGCGGAGCGCGGCTCCCGGGGCCGCCCCGCGGCGGGCGGAGCGGCGGCGGTATGGCCGCGTCCCGCGGGGCTGCGGGGCCGGCGGCCAGGGGAGGTGAGTGCGCTGCGGGAGGCGTGGGGGTCTCGCACCGCTCTCCCCCACTCCCCTCCGTTCCGCGATCCCGGCTTGGACGGTGGGTCGGGGCTGGCGCGGCCGTCCCTGGGATGGGGAGCGGCGGACACGTGTCGGGCAGCCGGGAGCGCCGGGGCCCGGCGCGGTGGGGCTCGCTTGTCGCCCGTCGGAGCGGGGTTCCGCGAAGAGCCGCGGACAGCCCCGTGCCCTCCTCCCGCTGGTTACGGGGATGTGAGTCGTTCTGGCCCTACTGATGCCAGTCCTTCCGCGTTTGGTGCACGGAACTGCGGGGACAGCGAGAGTTTCCAACAGCAAGTCGAGGTGGAGAGGGAGTTCATGCCGGCAGCGCGCCAGAGCGGAGGGACGTGAGGCTGATGGTCCGGGGAGCATTTTGGCCTCTCACATAAATCTGTTTGTCAGCGCGCACAGACACAGCAATAGTGCAAAGCAGGCGGTGCACAGCGAGGAGCACAAATGGACCGTGGGGAAGTACTGAAGGATAAGCCAGGTGCCGTAAGGAGAAAGAACAGCAGGGTTTGTGTCCTTGTTGAGAAGCCTGTATGTCTGCACCCTCCTGGAAGGAGCTTAGCTAGAGCTCACCGTAGATAAACTGCAAGAAATCCTCAGGCTACACTGGTCCTTTTAAGAGAAAGATGGGTATTTTGAGGCAAGGGTTATATCTTCTTTCTGGTCTTGTGGAAAGGCACAGACAGAAAAAAAAAGGGAGAAAACCATTGATAATGATGCTGCTTTGAAGGCCTGACCAGGTACAAGTTATCTCTAAAATGAATATGTCTGGTTTTAGAAAAGTGTATTCCAATTAAATCAGTAATATTCTGAAGTGGTATCTAGAGATTTTATGTGTTTCTTTGGTTTGGTCCAAATGAAAAAATTAGTCTAATGTTTTCACATTTAAGAGAAGAGAGTAGCTTTCAGTTCAGGTTGACTTTTAACTTCTACTGTCAAGTCATTAATAATGTGAAGGACACAATGAAAGGAAGTCATTGCAAGCAGGCAGTTTCAAACCTAGAGTTAGAAAACCTAGAGCACTTTTATTCTGTGTTTGGGCCTTTGAAGTGAGTAGTCTTTTAAGTGACATTTTTTGTCGTTTGTCTAGTATGTGCCCTTATTCTATTCATAAAAGCAATATAAATTTGTGCTAGTAGTTAGAGCAGTACCCTTGCCTTATTTCTGTGTTACAGTATGTTGGTATGAACCTCATACATGAAAAGCCAAACATTTATAGAGCATTTCCACACTGGTCTAATTGCACCTGGAGGCAAAGCTGTGCTGTTTAACTATTGGAAAGAACATGTGCCTGACTGTGTAACTCTTCTGTGTATACGTAGGTCTGTGGACTACTAGAGATTATGAGGTTACCCTGAGGTTTTTTTCAGATAACTCTTCTAAAAACATTGGCACGAGTTCAAAGGAAAAAAGGAAATTTTTTGAAGAAAATGGAAATTCAGAGGCTTATGCTGTTTTCCTTTTACTGAGCACAAACACTCATTGAAATAACTAGTGAACTTTCTCTGTCTTTGCTCCCAAACTCACTTTTCATCCCCTAGCAGATAATTTGGAGTCTCTAGGTAATTAAATATGTACAAATCAATGTTGAAAATCAAAATAATAGATGTCAGACTAAATTAACATTTATGTTAGCCTATAGACTTTCATGTACATCCATGTGCTTCATCTCCCCATTAGAAAGGTCTGCCAGCATGCTGGCTGGGAGTCAAAATTTTACCCCAGCCTTGCAACTGCTGTCTCATGGTAACTATGACTGACTTCAGCATTAACAGTCTTCCCTTGGACAAAGAGAAGGGTGGCAAGAGTGCCCAATAGCTCAAACAACCTTTTCAAAATTATTTGATTACAACACAGTCGCTTAGGGTCAAGAGATCTTAAGAGTATAAATCACATTGTCTATGGGCAAATAAATATCCCACCCTAATATTTATTATTTCTCTGCCTCTGAACAAAATCTTTATTCATTCAGAGGTTTAACTTCTACAAAAGTGTTCTCTCTAGCACCATCTTGTACTTGCATGTGCACCTGAGGTGTGTCACTTACTTGGAGGCAGCATATAGGAAAATTAAATAATATACTCGTTCCTGGTTTGCTGTTTCTATTTACAGGAAAGCCTGTGATTTTATATTCTAATCCAGGACAGTGTTGCTTTCTAGTTAGTTCCTTACAGCAGCCTTCACCAAGTGGCTTTTAATAAATATATTACTGTCCACAGTAAAGTTTGTTCAGTTTGCATATCAACACTTCTTACAGCATCTGTCAAAGGATTTTAAAATGAGTATATTTTCTGGAAGTGTGTCTTTCATTGTTTCATCATATAGTTTCCTACTCAAGTTCTTGTGATCAAGTCCTTTTGAACACATGCTGCTGGGGTGCACCATGTCCAAGCACAACATGTTACTCTGATTCCTTCCATGTCTCTCTCTCATGCCCCATTTTTAACATATTCAGTTTACTCTGGAAGACAAAATTTTAACTGGTCTTGCACACATCTACTTTTTTTTTTTTTTTTGTTCTACGTAGAGATACTCCAGTGAAAGCTAGTTTGTTCCTGACAGTACAGCCATTACTTCTTTTGATCAACTCAAAGTTCTGTTAAGGAAGCTATTAGAGCTGCTCAGCGCAGTGGGCTCTGGGATGCAAGATTTTCTCTTTCCTGGTCACTGAAAGGCAGTCCCATGTACTCTCAGACCCAAAAGATTTCACCATACAGGTTAATGGATGCATTCCCCATTAGCTTCGAAGCACTCCCATTGAATAGGCCACTTTGTGTATCAATGTGGATTCTTAAGTCTGTTTAAGTCCATTTCATAAAGTATACAAAATTCCACTAGCACCTTCTGATCCCATCCACCAATACCCTCAAAAATACCATAGTACATATGATAGTCACACATTTCCCCTTTCCTGTCAGTGACAAAAGTTCATCTTGACCCTGTTAAATATGTCTGAGTAGTTCCTTTAATGCCATTAGTTCCCATATTGGCAGAGAGAACTCTGTTTTCACCTGCTCATTAACGTTTGTGTGCAATCTACCATTTTCCTTGTTATTTGTTGTTTCTTTTATACTGAATAGTCCTCAATAACTGGTGGACTAGATGCCTTCCCAGACCCTGCTTCCTTATACTACCACTTCTGTTCAGATCAGACTGAGGGCTTTACTTCTTTCCTCTCTAAAATATCCACAGCATGCATGGTGGTGAACTGGGAGCTGCTCATGTCTGTGGGTGAAAACTCCAGCAAGGTGACAGAGCAGCCATTGCCCCGAGCACACAGCTGCCTCAGCTCATCCCTTCATTCTCGAGAGATCCTCGGACCTTAGCCTGATGAGCAGCCCAGTGTCTCTGCCCATTTCTGTTTCATGGGTTTAGAGGTTGATATCCGCTCAGTACCCTTCTTTAAAAACCCCCACCTGTTCCAAATTATCATGCATGTGGTTGCATCCTCAATTGTTTTCCCACAGGGCACTTTCAAGAATCCAGAATACCACCAGTGATCTGTTTCTCAGGTTAAATCTTTGTGTGCAGTAGGGGATTTTGGACAGAGAACAGATTCCTTTTACTGGTCGGCATTATATGCTCTGTAAAGCTTGCAGATTAATCATTGTGAACTGAACAATTAGCAATTACACCTGGAGGACAGGTTCACTAATTAATGCTGGAAGTGCAACATAATTTATTTCAGTATGATTACCAGAATGGATCTCCTAAAGCAGTATTATTTAAATATGTTTAAGGAGCCTTTTTTTGTGGTTTTTAATTAAAAATCCAATCTCAAAGTAATTTTAAACATTTACTGGATAAGCAAGTGGATCTTTTGGAGGACTGGCAATTACTAAATTATTATTGTAAAATTGCCTTTTATGTGCTTCTCTGTTTGAAAATTGAAAAGGCAGAATCCTTTCATGTAACTGTTGCAGTAATATTTTAGTGGTTTTAGCCTTCACATCACATTTCTTAAATAACTGACAATGTGCGAATATACAAGTGAAACTAAATATTTCATTAAACAGGTCATAATGGCTTAATAAAATAAGTGATGGATTGTATTGCTTGGTAATAGTGATCTGAAGTGCCCACGATTCCTGCCATAGTTTTACAAATGATTGTGTTGTAAATGTGCAGTGTATTTTATCTGAAGACAAGGGGCATCCCCACACCTCAGCATGAATGCGTAATTTCTGCTAGCACAAGGCATAGGATATGTTGGATTCCCCACAAATACCCCATAAACACTTCCTATTTGGTTTTCTCTGAATTCAAAAAACGTTCATAGCTTAAAAGCAAAGATGGGTGGCCTTTATCTTTGTATTTCATTCCAGTGTACTGAGCCGACTCTTGCCCTCTCAGTAGCAAGTAAAGGCTTTGATACATGAACAAACTACGTTGTATCAGCTCCTCTATTCTCTTACCAGAGTTTATTTAGAGGTGAGCTGCTTTAGCCTGCCTGGTGAACAGGTACACGGCTTTAACATGCTAATTTGTTTGCGTGTTAAACCTTCGAGTTCTTTGAAACCTCTGCTCAGTCTTTCTGTTACCATTGTGGAGCAAGAATGAGTGGTGTTTCATCAGTCCTCACACTGATGAAGACCTTTAAACTGTTTCTGAATTGGCAAATATCTGATTCTTACCCCAAAAAAGCTTTCTCTTCACTTGAACAAATAATAGATGTGAACATGCTTTATTTACATGTAGAGGTGTAGGCTAGAGAGGTACCTCAAGTGTTTTGAATGTTCTGAGTGTAGCACAGATGCCAGGATAATTTGTTATGCCTCTTGAATCACCTTGCTCACTGCGTTTGTTTTTACTGGGGAGTACAGGTTTTCTGGAAGAGCACCGAAGTTGTAGATTCTTGTCAGCAATGATGACTGCCACAGGGTATGCCTGTCACATAAGCAGGTCTTACAGTTCACCCTTTGAGACTTTGGCCAGCTTTCTTGATGAAGGGATGT